CAGCTCTACAGCAGAAACTCTAGTCATGAATGTATTGTGTGAAGTAGTTGTAGCAACCACTTGCAGCTCTACAGCAGAAACTCTGTCCATGAATGTATTGTGTGGAGTAGTTGTAGCAATCACTTGCAGCTCTACAGCAGAAACTCTAGTCATGAATGTATTGTGTGGAGTAGTTGTAGCAATCACTTGCAGCTCTACAGCAGAAACTCTAGTCATGAATGTATTGTGTGGAGTATTTGTGGCAATCACTTGCAGCTCTACAGCAGAAACTCTAGTCATGAATGTATTGTGTGGAGTAGTTGTAGAAATCACTTGCAGCTCTACAGCAGAAACTCTAGTCATGAATGTATTGTGTGGAGTAGTTGTGGCAATCACTTGCAGCTCTACAGCAGAAACTCTGTCCATGAATGTGTTGTGTGGAGTAGTTGTGGCAATCACTTGCAGCTCTACAGCAGAAACTCTGTCCATGAATGTGTTGTGTGGAGTAGTTGTGGCAATCACTTGCAGCTCTACAGCAGAAACTCTGTCCATGAATGTGTTGTGTGGAGTAGTTGTGGCAATCACTTGCAGCTCTACAGCAGAAACTCTGTCCATGAATGTATTGTGTGGAGTATTTGTGGCAATCACTTGCAGCTCTACAGCAGAAACTCTAGTCATGAATGTGTTGTGTGGAGTAGTTGTGGCAATCACTTGCAGCTCTACAGCAGAAACTCTAGTCATGAATGTGTTGTGTGGAGTAGTTGTGGCAATCGCTTGCAGCTCTACAGCAGAAACTCTGTCCATGAATGTATTGTGTGGAGTATTTGTGGCAATCACTTGCAGCTCTACAGCAGAAACTCTGTCCATGAATGTATTGTGTGGAGTAGTTGTGGCAATGACTTGCAGCTCTACAGCAGAAACTCTGTCCATGAATGTGTTGTGTGGAGTAGTTGTGGCAATCACTTGCAGCTCTACAGCAGAAACTCTAGACATGAATGTATTGTGTGGAGTAGTTGTGGCAATCACTTGCAGCTCTACAGCAGAAACTCTAGTCATGAATGTGTTGTGTGGAGTAGTTGTGGCAATCACTTGCAGCTCTGCAGCAGAAACTCTGTCCATGAATGTATTGTGTGGAGTAGTTGTGGCAATGACTTGCAGCTCTACAGCAGAAACTCTGTCCATGAATGTGTTGTGTGGAGTAGTTGTGGCAATCACTTGCAGCTCTACAGCAGAAACTCTAGACATGAATGTATTGTGTGGAGTAGTTGTGGCAATCACTTGCAGCTCTACAGCAGAAACTCTAGTCATGAATGTGTTGTGTGGAGTAGTTGTGGCAATCACTTGCAGCTCTGCAGCAGAAACTCTGTCCATGAATGTATTGTGTGGAGTAGTTGTGGCAATCACTTGCAGCTCTAAAGCAGAAACTCTGTCCATGAATGTGTTGTGTGGAGTAGTTGTGGCAATCACTTGCAGCTCTACAGCAGAAACTCTGTCCATAAATGTATTGTGTTGAGTATTTGTGGCAATCACTTGCAGCTCTACAGCAGAAACTCTGGCTATGAATGTGTTGTGTGGAGTAGTTGTGGCAATCACTTGCAGCTCTACAGCAGAAACTATGGTCATGAATGTATTGTGTGGAGTAGTTGTGGCAATCACTTACAGCTATATAACAGAAAATCTGTCCATGAATATATTGTTTGTAGTAGTTGTGGCAATCACTTGCAGCTCGAAAGTAGAAACTCTGGCTATGAATGTATTGTGTGTAGTAGTTGTGGCAATCACTTGCAGCTCTACAGCAGAAACTCTGGCTATGAATGTATTGTGTGGATTAGTTGTGGCAATCACTTGCAGCTCTATAGCAGAAACTATGTCCATGAATGTATTGTGTCGAGTAGTCGTAGCAATCTCTTGCAGCTTTATAGAAAACCCAAGATATGCTGAAGGTGAATCAAGTTGACCTTGTTTTAATTTGTAACTGTTTCATCATGAGACGCTGCTTTTGTTTCGACACTGTTTCTACTTTTTCTTCATCTGAGTGATGTAATTGTATAGTTTATAGGAAAGCTACAGTATTTGCGCATATGGCAGACACACCCACCTTTATTTCACAGAACATTTTCTGGTGGCCATGTTTAGACTAGGGTACATTGAGCTGTCTATATGTGTGGTCACCTTTGTTTCACAGAACATTTCCTGGTGGCCATGTTTAGACTAGGGTACAGTGAGCTGGTTTCATGTGTGGTCACCTTTGTTTCACAGAATATTTCCTAGTGGTTATATTCAGACTAGGGTAGGATGAGCCAGCTACATGTGTGGCCACCTTTGTTTCACAGAACATTTCCTAGTGGCCATGTTCAGACTAGGGTATAGTGAGCTAGCTACATGTGTGGCCACCTTTGTTGCACAGAACATTTCCTAGTGGCCATGTTCAGACTTGGGAAAAGTGTGACCATGCTGGCCATAGTTATCTCAGTGGTCAAGCCATTTGCTTTGTACTCAGAAGTTGGTTGCTCAGTCCATAATTGCAATTTTTAATGAGATCCGTTGCAAACGTTGCATGAGCTGTGGAGTTTGTGCCATTCTGCAGAGAGAGACTGAGCCACACTGGAAAACCCCAGTGCAGCGGAGCCAGTCCTCTCAACATTAACTTTAATGTATAGACATAGCTATGAGGAGGCTACATGGGGATTACACAGCCAGTCAAAGAAGCTGCATAGGATCATATAAACATGCTAACCAGTTTAACACAAGTGGACCAAATAGCAATCTTGGGACGCCACACCGGACGACATCACCAGATAAAATACTGATCAGTAAGCTCAAGTTAGAAGATGGTCATGGATGTAGCTCAAATTGGTGACATGATGTCAAAACATTTTCTGCACGAGTATCCAACATGTGCAGAGAGATTTCTATTATAGTCTGTACCCACTCCGGTTGAGAACAAACTGTGGGCCTGCTAGCAGACTCAAGTTGACCGCTGCTGCTGTCTGGAAATATAAATTCAGTAGATGTCTGTATGTGTAGGGAGAAGAGGAATGAATTCTCTTGTAGGCTGCAGCCAAAGTGCGAGACATTGTTTAATTTTACAACAGAAAATCCTTAAACATATGTCTGTTTTCTGACTTCACAGACTTTGTATAAGGAACCAGAAAGTGAAGCTAGCCGTTCCTGTAATGACAAGCACAACCGGGGTCATGGCTGAGATTCCATCAGCCATTAACACCTCCTCCGTCGACTGCCTCGTTTAAGTGAGCAATACCCAGCTGACTGGGTCCTTGTCACCAGGGATATGATTATTTTACAAATGTTTCTAACAGTTTTCATCTTTATTAATTGTATCATCTTTGTCTTCTTCCTTGTTTGATTTTTGTGTCCCCCTGTGGAGCATAGGCCCTTAACTAGTTCTCTGCTGGATGAGATATCCAGTTTCAGGCCAACCCTCCATAGTTGCTCTTATTACATGCATCTTTTCTGGAGCAACATACAATATTTCATAATCAGTAAAGAAGGAAATCAGAGCTTGTGAATTACACAGTTCTGATAAGGCTAACCCAATCAGCAAATGCCTGCGGAAGTCAGATGTGTCGGCTGAAAAGAGGAGATATCACAGCTGTGCTGTCAACATGCACAACGCAGTTACATCTTTGGATGAAGATAGAATAAATTGCAGTTTCAGAAATGTCCATAGAAAATGCTGGATGAGAAGACAGTCGCAGAAAACCACCATTTTAACAACCTGATTTCCACAGACTGAAATATTTAGTCACAGATGCATAGAATAAAAAAAAAGTATCGGAAACCTTGGATCCTACAAGATAGTAAAGGGGTCAGCTTTTGTACACTGGATATATAGCAGGGTGGGTCACTGAGGGACCCCCCCCCCCCCCACTCGCAACACTTGGCTGAGGTCACTGGGAGAAGAGAAGAACTGAGGACCTGTTGAGTCTTTCTAGCATGTCATTGTTGGAGGAATGTTGTGCAAAAGACTTGCTACAGGCAGTGTGGACATCCCAAGTAAAATGACGATGTAAGAAAAACACCCCATGACCCAGCATGTCTGTAATGTCTGTTGACCGCAGTAATCTACTGTTGTTTGGATCACAGTATTCTTGCTACATTCTGTCAGAGAATTGTTGCACATTGTTTTCTTGCTGGTTATGTCAAAGAATTGTTGTATCTACTTGTTTGATCTGTCCATAGTGGTCTGTTTGTTTGATCTGTCCAAAGTGGTCTACTTGTTTGATCTTTCCATAGTGGTCTACTTGTTTGATCTGTCCATGATGGTCTACTTGTTTGATCTTTCCATAGTGGTCTACTTGTTTGATCTTTCCATAGTGGTCTACTTGTTTGATCTTTCCATAGTGGTCTATTTGTTTGAGCTGTCCATGATGGTCTACTTGTTTGATCTGTCCATAGTGGTCTATTTGTTAGTTCTGTCCGTAGTGGTCTACTTGTTTGATCTGTCCATAGTGGTCTACTTGTTTGATCTGTCCATAGTGGTCTGTTTGTTTGATCTGTCCAAAGTGGTCTACTTGTTTGATCTTTCCATAGTGGTCTACTTGTTTGATCTATCCATAGTGGTCTATTTGTTTGATCTATCTATGATGGTCTACTTGTTTGATCTGTCCATAGTGGTCTACTTGTTTGAGCTGTCCATGATGGTCTACTTGTTTGATCTATCCATAGTGGTCTATTTGTTTGATCTATCCATGATGGTCTACTTGTTTGATCTATCCATAGTGGTCTACTTGTTTGAGCTGTCCATGATGGTCTACTTGTTTGATCTATCCATAGTGGTCTACTTGTTTGATCTGTCCGTAGTGGTCTACTTGTTTGATCTGTCCGTAGTGGTCTACTTGTTTGAGCTGTCCATGATGGTCTACTTGTTTGATCTGTCCATAGTGGTCTACTTGTTCGATCTGTCCATAGTGGTCTACTTGTTTAATCTGTCCATAGTGGTCTACTTGTTTGATCTGTCCATAGTGGTCTATTTGTTAGTTCTGTCCGTAGTGGTCTACTTGTTTGATCTTTCCATAGTGGTCTACTTGTTTGATCTTTCCATAGTGGTCTACTTGTTTGATCTTTCCATAGTGGTCTACTTGTTTGATCTTTCCATAGTGGTCTACTTGTTTGATCTTTCCATAGTGGTCTACTTGTTTGATCTATCCATAGTGGTCTACTTGTTTGATCTATCCATAGTGGTCTACTTGTTTGAGCTGTCCATAGTGGTCTACTTGTTCGATCTGTCCATGATGGTCTACTTGTTTGAGCTGTCCATGATGGTCTACTTGTTCGATCTGTCCATAGTGGTCTATTTGTTCGATCTGTTCATAGTGGTCTATTTGTTAGTTCTGTCCGTAGTGGTCTACTTGTTTGATCTGTCCATAGTGGTCTACTTGTTTAATCTGTCCATAGTGGTCTATTTGTTAGTTCTGTCCATAGTGGTCTACTTGTTTGATCTTTCCATAGTGGTCTACTTGTTTGATCTATCCATAGTGGTCTACTTGTTTGATCTATCCATAGTGGTCTACTTGTTTGATCTATCCATAGTGGTCTACTTGTTTGATCTATCCATAGTGGTCTACTTGTTTGATCTGTTCATAGTGGTCTATTTGTTTGAGCTGTCCATGATGGTCTACTTGTTTGAGCTGTCCATGATGGTCTACTTGTTTAAGCTGTCCATGATGGTCTACTTGTTTGAGCTGTCCATGATGGTCTACTTGTTCGATCTGTCCATAGTGGTCTACTTGTTTGAGCTGTCCATGATGGTCTACTTGTTCGATCTGTCCGTAGTGGTCTGTTTGTTTGAGCTGTCCATGATGGTCTACTTGTTTGAGCTGTCCATGATGGTCTACTTGTTTGAGCTGTCCATGATGGTCTACTTGTTTGAGCTGTCCATGATGGTCTACTTGTTCGATCTGTCCATAGTGGTCTACTTGTTCGATCTGTCCATAGTGGTCTACTTGTTCGATCTGTCCATAGTGGTCTACTTGTTCGATCTGTCCATAGTGGTCTACTTGTTTGATCTGTCCATAGTGGTCTACTTGTTCGATCTGTTCATAGTGGTCTACTTGTTCGATCTGTTCATAGTGGTCTACTTGTTCGATCTGTTCATAGTGGTCTACTTGTTCGATCTGTTCATAGTGGTCTACTTGTTCGATCTGTTCATAGTGGTCTACTTGTTCGATCTGTTCATAGTGGTCTACTTGTTCGATCTGTCCATAGTGGTCTACTTGTTCGATCTGTCCATAGTGGTCTACTTGTTCGATCTGTTCATAGTGGTCTACTTGTTCGATCTGTCCAAAGTGGTCTATTTATTTGATCTGTCCATGATGGTCTACTTGTTTGATCTGTCCATAGTGGTCTACTTGTTTGATCTGTCCGTAGTGGTCTACTTGTTTGATCTGTCCGTAGTGGTATACTTGTTTGATCTGTCCATAGTGGTCTACTTGTTTGATCTGTCCTAAGTGGTCTATTTATTTGATCTGTCCATGATGGTCTACTTGTTTGATCTGTCCATGATGGTCTACTTGTTTGATCTGTCCATGATGATCGACTTGTTTGATCTGTCCATGATGGTCTCTTGTTTGATCTGTCCAACCTCTTCTTGTTCAGCATTCCGAGCCCTTGAGGTTCATTGCTGCAGATATCACCTGCATCTTCGTGCGATCTGACTTCCAGTTGGTGACTCCAAATGTGTGTACATCTGCCTGTATATTATCTCTCCAGTGCCTTCTTGGTCTGCCTCGTGGTCTGTGACCATTCAACTCCTTTGTGTATATAGTTTTTTTATATCTCTGTAATTTTACATTACCTTAGTATGTCCCAGCCATTTCAGTCTGTTAGCTCTCTTGATTTAAGTAATCAATTGCTTTTTCAACTGATTATGAATTTCGTAAAACAGATTATGACTGCTTTAAAGAAGTCGACACAGAAAATCCAGAAATAGAGGAACTTTACTATCCAGAAGAAGAATTAGATTCAAACACAATATATGAGCTACTACTTGCAAATGATCAATCACTGTTCTACAATGAGGGGAGTAGACTTCAAAAACATTTGAACAGGCTAAGTTCAACATTCATAAGATATAACATGAAAATAAATACTACCAAAACTGAAGAATTTATAGTCAGCTACATATCGTGTTGAATGGTATCTGTCCGAAGCAAGTTGGAGAATTTAAATATTTACGAAATATAGTCTCGGAGGATGGAAGAATATATCCGGCAATAGAAACAAGACGCCGATGAGCCAGTGCACTTATATACCAACTTACACCGCTATTAAGACATCCAAACATAAGTATGAGTGCCAAGAAAAAATATTATAGTCAGCATATTCATACCAACACCGTGCTATCAGATCCAGACTTGGACATTATCAGAGACTAATATACGAAAAATTAACACCTGTGAAATTCGATGCCTGAGAAAAGCCGCCAACCTAACCGTCCGAGACAAAATAAGAAATGATATAACATGTATTAGACTGACTGTAGGAACAACACCATGCAGCAAATTCACTAAGAAACAAAAGATAAGATGGTTCGGTCATTTTTATTTTATTTTAAGTGTGATAAATATTTATTTTCACTGAATAACAGCAAGGGAAAAACAATATGAGCAGGCAAACAATTCAACAGTTGTGTTACTTTTATATGTTTTTGTTGTCATATTTTTTGGGTCTTTTTCAATATTTTTCCCCCTGAGAAGCAGCAAACCCTTTCGGCTGAGTCTAATCTGCTGCTGTAGCAAAGTTTTGAAACATTACTTGCCGTCCTTTTTTAGGATGAAATTTTTCATTATTTGAAGCCCCACCGTGGCTCTTGCCAGGGGTCGCTGTAATAAGTGGTGTTGTCTAGGTGGTGTTCATGCGTGTGTCGTGAATGTTCTTCTCACACACTCCACGTTACATAATTGGTACAAGCCGACACCTATGTAAGCGTACGAGACATGAGTTTATTGGCATATTCACACTTACAGAAGAGTCCTGTCGTTGTCCTAGTAAACAGCTCTCGCACACCAATTCACGCAGCCTTCAACGAGCAGGTTCTTCATGCATTCACTGACCAAAGTCGGCTCACATGAATCAAGTTGAGGTTCTGGCCATTTCACAGACTGGCATGGTCGATCTTGGCTTCACACTTTGTCGTCAGGGTCTCCTTTCTCAACAATCACTCTTACGTTGACATTCTTCCACTCAGTCACACATCCTTTCGCTCCAACAGGTCGACACAAACTAAACTTGATCAGAATCAAGTCTGACTTATACCACGGGTTAGTTTCACGTGGCAACATGTGGTGGTCCTTTACTTTCACGTGGCGACCTTTGGCTGCGTCGTCGTGATACCCGTGATAACTAATGGTCCTCACCTATCTCAAGATCCTCGTTTAATCCGAGTATCTGGAACATCATGGTGTTTTGGGTAAGCTTTGGGCCTTCCCCCCAACCTTCCTAATCTGGGTGAAAATATCCCCCATTACAGCCGCAATATAGCCAGGCCATAAATATGGCCAATTATTGTGAACGCGGTTTCTGGGACCTCTCCACGGTGATCCTCATCCACATGGTGGCACATTGTGTCATCGGGTGTTTATCGCTTGTGTGATGTCCTAGTGGGGTAGATAGTCAATCAATCAATAATCTGCTGCTTGACCATTATTAGTATAGTGATCTGTTTATGAAAAGTTCAGCTAATTTTAATGGCTCTGTTTGCACCGGCACAAATGTTTAGGGCAGTGGTTCTCAACCTTCCCAATGCCGTGACTCTTAAATACAGTTCCTCATGTTGTGGTGACCCCCAACAATACAATTATTTTCGTTGTTACTTCATAACTTCAGTAGATATGTGCTTTCAGATGGTGAACCCTGTGAAAGGCTTGTTTGATCCCCAAAAGGCTGGCGACCCATAGGTTGAGAACAGCTGGTTTAGGCTGACCCAAAATGACTGTGTGTGCTAATAAAAAAAAAAAAAACACATAGCTGGAGGTTTTCATTGAGAAAGTGGTTTAAAAAATAGAAATTATAACATCAGAATTTCTCATTAGACATCAGAATTTCTCATTAGTTATAATTGTCGTATGGCAGTTTTGTCGCGCACCTTTACTAGCGGATTATTTTCCCAAAATCCTCAGGTGCTCTGAGACAGGGGTGTCCTGAATGGTGGCTCTCGTTTGTCTAGAGGCCTAGCCCTCGGTTCAAACATCCATTCAGCCTATCTCAGGGATGAGGTGACGCGAGCTCTGACCCCTCAGGGTTACTGTGAACTCTTGGGTACCGCTCGGTCAGACATCCCCATTACTAATTTTGCCCCCAGACTGGTAAACAACGTAAACACAGTCAAATATATAAACACCAGTGAGTCAGACAGGACGTGAATACACTTCTGACAGTGACAGAAGATTCCAACGTATCACTTTTCAAGAATAAGAAACCTTGTGAACAAGAACGATTATGTAATAATTCATTGATACAACGGAAGATTAAATGAGAACACAGAGAACCAGAATGACGTTTCGAGTCCTCGAAGAATTGAGACTAGAGAAGGGGTCTCCTTAATTTGCCTCATCCGTTTCCTGATTCATCACGGTATGGAGAGTAAAGGCAGATTACAAGAGCGCATTTGGATTCTGGCTGTCAAAGTGTTCCTTAGCTCTAACGACTTATCTGCTCCAGATCCTGTAGCTCCTCAGTGTCAAATAGAGAGTCTTTGTAGGCACTCTTCCGATTAACGGCCTGTTCCATATTTTCAACTACATGATCTCTCAAGTCCCTAACTACGACCTCTTGAGGCCCTGAATGGGATTTTTTGTCTTAAAATAATAAGAGACCGTTATTCGGAAGAGTGCCAAAGCGAGTCATACCTCTACCATTCCCCATCCCTCCATATATACCCTCTTCACCGGTTGGAAAGATGAAACAGATGAGATGGATACAAAAACAAAATACAAGAATAGACTCCAAAAGCAATTCCAAAGGCTGAGCTTGTTGTGGTTACAGTAGCTCCTAGCAACAGCGGATGTGACGTCATGTTTTCCTAGAGTTTTCAACGGTCAACCAACTCCTCAAGTTCAGAGACCAATTAAAAGATCATAACAGAACATACAAGTTTATCAATACATTAATTACACTCCAGACATATAGATTGATTGATCCGAATAGGTTTCAAAAGCCGGCTAGAAGAATTCACGGAGAAATTTCAGCCGAAAGTGCATTCCTAACAGAATCGCTGTCGTCTCTCATCGCAGGCGATCGTAGACAAACAGATTCGCATTATCATTCTGCTTACCTTTTTCTCGCAAACATATACAGGCACTGAGCA